CATCATGTTTGCTACTATTTATTAACTTGGTGAAATGTTTGCTGCTATAGTCCTTGTAAAGCACGGTCACAGTATACAGCTTCAGCAGACCTTGGTGTTTAAAACGCATATCTTGATTTGTTTAACGTCTCAATCAACTTGCAGCACATATTTGCATCGATTTTCAACCGACTTTGAGTACATTGTTACATTCCTATTACTCACAAAAGCAGCATAGGGAAACTTTAAACCAGAGGTGTCTAAACTCGGTCCTGGATGTCCACTCTTCTGCAGAATTTAGCTGCAACTTACCTGGAAGTTTCTGGTATGCCTAGTAATACCTTAGTTAACTGATTCAGATGTATTTAATTAAGGATGGAGCTAAACTCTGCAGGACAGTGACCTGCAGAGCAGGATTCGACTCCCCTGCTTTAAATAATCACTTTTTTGTGTTTAATTAATGTTTAATTAATTTGTGTATATTGAAGTCTGTCAGTGTGTATTGTATATAGAATAAATATACATGTGTTTTTTCAAGCTTTTCTCAGTGGTTGTTTCCCAAGAGGTATGAGTGTATTTTCAGCTTTGTATGACAGTTTCTTGGCAGTTTTTTGCTACTGTTGTGCCCTTGTTGTATACATATACTGGCATTCACACATTAGCATGCACAGGCAGGTTGTGTACTGTTATTAATATTAAAACCCTGTTTATAAGCACTGCAAGAAAAAAATAAATTTTAAATGTTTCAAACAAATGTTGTAGTATATTTTTTTTATCTGGATCCAAAATAAAGTTTACATTATCATAACTAGAAAATGTATGTTAAAAATTTTGAACTTGTTGAAACAGAAAATCTTGTAAAGTCAAATGAACTTCAATAAAACAATTCAGCACTAGGCAAGATTTAAATTAGTGAGTTGAAATTACTTGTACTTTTAAGTTGATTTAACTTACAATTTTAAGGCAGCCACAAAACTTACGTTTTTAAGTTGAAAGGGGTGAAATTTGTTTACAGTGGGTGCACAGGTCAGCAAGCTGGATATGAACAGTGGTTTGCTTTTACAGATAGTTTTCTGTTGTTCAGAAGAGCATTTCGACAAAAATGATTGATAATTCTCATTTTGCTCTCAGATTTTAATTGGAGTACATGATTTTGGTTTGGTGGTTGCATACTCCGTGGTCTGAAGGTTACATTTTTAAATTTAAATTTCATATTTAATTATCTGTGACTGAAAACGAGTCTGTGAGGGATAAACAACTTGTAATGGATTGTAATGTTTTGCACTTTGCTGTTGATCATTCAGTTGAATGTAATATTTCAAAACAGACTGTACATTTAACTCTCATTTGTAGGAAATATGTCTGATTAGGGTTTAAATATTTCTTACCTTTGCACAGCCAGAACTTTTTTTGTGCATTATACACTAACTCAGCATCTGTATTTTATATATACACATACAAATATAATTTTTCGCCAAGTATATATTAGAAATCGCCATTTCTAGTTTTTATCTTTTCTATCTATACACTGCCTACCAAGAGACTGGGGTATAGAATTGTTTTGTGAACCTGTTTGTCTATGTGGCATTGACTGGCATTGGATAATAAAAATGAATAGGTGCAGTGCTGAATGTATTAATGTTTGACCAATTAATAGTGGTGTAAATTTAACACGAAAACAATAGTTTGCAAGTTGCATCGGAATCTACAGACTGCACCTTTAAGAAGGGAACCTCCCACGTGTTGCATGTTGTCCATGCCTCAGGTTGCCTACCTGTCTCGCATAACTCTCCACTAACCTCCTCGCTCACGCTCTCTTCACAAGAGAGAAGTAAAGAATGTTGCTCAATCCAACCTTCTCCGAATCGCTCTCGGATTGACTCCGCCCTCAAAAATCTCGCGACTGACACGTTTGACATTCTCTCAGAAAAAAAAAAAAACTCCGCTTTTGTGGTCGAGGTCGTCAGAAACCTCTCGGGTTTCCTCGCTTTTCCCAGAGCTGCGAGGAGTTGTCGCCTCTCGAGTGTCGACTATGCTGGACCCGTCCTCCAGCGATGAATCTGAGGGCGAACTACCACCTGAGGACGAACCGCCCGTTAAAACCGGGAAACCTGTTAAAAAGAGTCCCAAACCTGAAAAGACATCGGACGCACCGCGAACCCAAACCAAGGAACCGGTACCTTCTCCCGCCGATGCGGACAAAACCGAGCAGGAGAGACTTAAGAAAGAAGAAGCGGAGAGGAAAATTAAACTACAAATGTATGTGTTTGTGTTGAGATGTATCGCGTATCCGTTTAACGCCAAACAGCCCACAGATATGGCTCGCCGCCAGCAGAAGGTGAGTGACCGTTAAACCACTGTTTGGAATATTTCGCGCTTTAAATTAACGCGCGCGTGCCGAGCTCACCTCAATCCATTGAAACCGCCGCTGCCAAAAACCTGTTCACTGAGGCAAACTTTTGTCTTTTACACCCAACGCATCGGTCAGTGGCTCAGTGTTTTGGTTCAGTAGTTGCAAAGAGTACTTTTACAGGTTTTAAAGAAGATTTGTAAGACTGTCAACTGCAAATTCTTGGCCATCCCACTTTTAAATGTTTGTTTACTGTGATCATGTACAGTAGCCTACCTGTGTTACCTATCCACTATTTGGAGCTTCAAGCTAAATTATTTATTTATTGATAAAATGGTGCAAGGAAAGGTTAGCAATGGTATCACACTTAATTTTTTAGTTGTTATGAAATTATAAAATGTTTTTTGTTTTGCAAGAGAGACAATATCTAACATCTAATTGTTTTATATATAAAAGCTGCAATATGCATGCAATCTATAGTGCCTGCATGTAACAAACACATTAAAGCGATTCCTAACAGCATAAATAACATAGCATACAAATATGTGAATTATTTATGATGTGAGAAAAATAAATTAAAATTGCTTTTCTCAATGCAGTTCTTCAGATATAAATGTGCAACACTGTGCTCCATGCCAGAAAAGGATATTAAAATGACCAGCAGGATGTAGTGTGACCAAGAAAATAAAACAAAACAAAACTTTTTATTGGTTTATGACATCCCTTCATATTTAACCTTGTTGTCATATTATATGCATCATGTGTTTAAAATGTGTACAAAATGGTTTTGTTGCCCTTAGTGGAACATTTTTTATTATTTGTTTGGGGTTGTCAGCCTACCACACTGGTTGAACTCTTTGGACAACCTCTAGGCACCCATTTGAAAGGGCAGTTCCCTGAAGAACTGTAGATTGTCAACAATTCCCTTAGTAACCCCATCAGAAGGAAAAGGCTTTGAGGCACTTGAAACATATTTTGAACTTCTATGAGTACACAATATTTGAGGCACCTTCAGAAGGGTGCCTAGAGGCTCTGAAGTGGGTTCTGCCAGTGTGGCAGACTGAGGAACCCCAAATGCTGCCTCGAGTCTTCTTTTCATTTTTATGGTAAATGTTGCACCATGTTGCCTCAGGGTAATAAAGCACTTGTCTTCACTTCATAAGTTCTTGCAGATGAGATGGATAATATTAAAGGGATGACTTAGGGAAAAATGTTCTTGGTTACACTGCCTCATGGTCATTATAATATCTTTTTTTTTTTTTTTGCCATGGTACATTATGTGGAGGAATAGTTCACAAGGATGTGTAATTGGTAATAGAATTTACATTTTTGGGTGAACTATCCCTTTTAAGTAAATATGAGAACAAGAACTTAAATGGTTAAACAGCAGCTTTGTTGTGAAATTATTTCTCTCCTCTTGCTATAAACGTAGAATCACTTATGAGAACAGACACATATGCTATTTTTTACCAGCACACACCCACTACCTCTAACATATACTGCCTTTAGAATCGACCTATTAAGTGATTTTAGTTTCTGTTTCTGCCTAATGCATGCAATCATACTTCTAAAGCTGGAAATATCCTCAAAGCAATTCTTTAAAAAAGGACTGATAATAACCCGTTATCAACTTTGCACCTGTGGGACATGTAAATTGCATTCCAATTCCAGGTGCTAATCTTAACTTTATTTTTGCTCTAGGAAAGCTTGTGAAATACTTCAGAATTGTAATTTTACTCATAGACTGATAAACAACAGGTGGCAAATGAGAAAAGAAAAGCTTTTCCTCAAAATTATTTTTATTTTATTTATTTAGTCATTTAGCAGACGCTTTTATCCAAAGCGACTTACAAATGAGGACAACAGAAGCAATCGTTTGTAGTATTAAAACAACTAAAAACAGATCCAAAACTAAAAGCTAAAACTTTATAAATACTACTTATACACATTTAAAAAATAAAGAAATAAAATAAAAATGACAAATGCATACAACAAAATTTCAAAACTTAACATTTAAATGAAAAGCTAAAAACAATTCAAAATATTAAAGAACAAAAGGTATAGGAGTATAATAATGATTCTAACATAACACTAAGCCAAACACCAAAAAAACAACTACATATGTGTGTATGTACAACCACACACACATACATATATACTGTATATGTACATACACATTTATAAATTCAATATATATATATTATTTCATTTCCATTTAGTTTGTTGAAGTATTAAAATAACTCAAATTTTATAAAAGTAAAACTTAATAAAAGACCTATACAGACATAATAAATTCAGACATAATTTAACTAAAATTAAAATAAATAACAAATACAAATAATACAAATCAAATGACAGTAGTTTATCAGTAATCCTAAAAAATAACATTGCCAAACACACATGCTAAAAAACAACAACTTACTTACACATAGTAAGAAATGGTTATAAAAACTGAAACAGAAGTGAAATGGGTAGTAGGATTATTTATTATTACAAATTATCATGTGTTCATGGCGATTTGTTAAGGAGAAATGTATATGAGAAAGCTGTCTGTAAGCGTTCTCATTCAGACATAGGAAATGATGTAATAACGATGCTGATTGGCTAAAGGCACAATATGTGACTATCCTGAAAGGCAGCAGAAAGGTAAAAAGTGTGTTTCAAATAGGCCTACTTTTAGGAGCCCTACAAAAACAAATTGGCACTGGAAAAACATCTACAATATAACAAAATTGTGCATCAAAAAGACAAAATCTGAAAACAGACCAATTTGAATGGCAAACAATCAAGAAAGTTGATTTTTGCAGCCAGACAGTGTAGTTTTGGCATTTACCAGCAGTTTCTTGGGGTCATGATAACAAGTCAAACCTTGGCCCCTTAGTGGCTGTATTCATAAAGGCACTTTAGTTATTCCAATTTGTTGAATTGCCATGGATCCTGGTATGGTGTTCTACACTACTATTATTATTTTTTTCTTAGCTTTTTATTTCATAAACTAGCTACACTTGTGTGGATTTCAAGTGCAATGTTTGTCACAAAAATACCACCCTGTCAGTTTAGTTTACTTGACTTCTATTCACATTAAACAAATGTACACTGTAGACAGAAATAGGAAAAGAAGAATTCCTGGAGATCTGCTGATTTGTACATGCTTATTTCTTTACATTAATTTTTTGAATCTTTACAAGTTCCACAAATTTGAGTCTAAATGATCCTCCAAGTCATATAGTGCAAAAGCAGAAGAAAGCTGAGTTATATGCGTCCAGTAAGACCCCATGACCTCCATTTAATTTAGAATTATGGCCTATTGTTCAATCAAAATGCTTAAGGGCACAACCATGGTCTCGCCATAAAAGCTGGACGACACAAGTATCACCCCTAATTACACATAAAACAGAGAAGAAATAAATCTACCTTTAGTCTTTGTTGAATAAATATTCTCAGTTGGAGGCGATCTTGAGAGTAGCTAGGGGTAGATTATTGATTTTTCTGTCATGGCTCATAGAAATATCTTTGCTGCCTAAATGAGAAGGTAACCTTCCCAGATCTGATCAGGTGATATTCAAGTATTCCTTGAGGCACTATTTTCCTCCTGGATATAGTGAGAGGACTCTTTTACTGCACTGCATGTAATCAGCCAGCCTTCACTTTTGATATGCCACTCCACATGATAGAAGTCAGTCAGTGTAAGTATGCTGCCGGTTACCCTTTTACAGTCACTAGGGACACATACACACATCTTCTGTCTTTTGAGCTGTCTAAAGTGTCTGAATGACTTTGTACAAGATCTTACGTGTGTTCTTATGCCGCGTTGAACTTGAAGGCATTGTTATGCATAATCGCAGATACACTGTCAAAGTAACACAATGCCTTTTAGAGACTGCTATCAAAAGGTATCTGATCATGAACGGTCATGCACTAGCATTGTAGTTTTGCCCTTTTTGCATTTAACCTTCTCCTTTGTTATGACTTCTCTTACAGTGTTTTTCTTTCTTATTTACAGTCTTCATGAAAAGTAGCTTTGGGCACAAGGAATCCGACATTTATGTGTTTTTCCCAAAGCCACCATGCTGTCAACCCACTTTTGTGTTATTCAAGTGCATTGCAGAACTTTTATTTGGAGCACATGCTGTTAGACTAAAATTCAGTGCAAACGAACAATGGATTTGAATGTGGGCATCTTGAATGTGTTGTGAAGCCTCATTTGGATTAAAACATGCAAAATTTATACCACATACAGTTTAAATGAATGCTTTGATCCTGAATTGGCTAGTGTGCTAACTAGTGTTGGAGCATTTTTTGCATTTTGGGACAAAGTGTGATTGTTATAACTATTTATATAGTCATATAGTATATTCCAGCACTATATTTTAGTGAGACAAGACATATGGGAAAAGGGGAAAACACTTCTTAAATGCATTTTTGTATAGACACAAACATTTATTTACATTTTGTTTTATGGGGAAAAAGCCATAAGTTTTTGTACAGACGTGGGCGGATGGAAATTTCAGTTTAACAGAATAAAGAGTATAATACTTGTTTAAAGAAATTAAATAATACCTGTTTTTCACTGAAAAATTGCACTCTGAGCTGTTTCACAGCAACAAAAAGTGTCCACATTGTTTAGTGATGATTACATGCTCCAGATATCAGGCTCAGCCAACATAAATTTGAGACAAGTGTAGCAAAAATGCAGCTATATTATGCATGATTTCTGCCACAGCATTTTTTGCTCTAAAACCTTTAGGGACCTGAGTGCGCACATAAAGCTTCTAGTCTATTTAATGTGTATGATGCACATTTCAGTTCATTGCTGTGGAATTCTGTCACAGATTTTTTTTTTTGCCCATGACTGACGTGAGCCATTTATTCACTGCACACTGGCGTCAGTAGATACTCTCCAAAAGTAGCTGCAGTCTGTTCCCTTTATTTGTATGTAATCCAGATTGCACTCATTATTTGAATGTCATGGCCTTATATGTTGTTAT